CTCTCTCTCTTTTTTTTGTGAGGAAGATTGGCCCTGAGCTAAATCTGTTGCCAATCGTCCTTATTTTATGTGGGACACTGCCACAATGTGGCTTGACAAGTGGTGCTATGTGCGTGCCCGGGATCCGAACCTGTGACCCCTGGGCCACTAAAGCAGAGCACGTGAACTTAACTACTACACCACTGGACCGGCCCCTTCGTCTCTGTTTTCTTAAAGACAGCCTTATTCTGTTTACAATTAACTCATGTGCTGGGTATTTTGTTATTGTTTTTGTTGTTTTGTGTTTTTATTCTTTGTTTTCCCTCTGATTAACTCAATATTATTTCCAACTCTGCAGTTGTAAGCTTCTCCAGAGCAGGATAGGTCAGGAAGGTGGAATGTCCCCAGAGGAGATGAATGTATGGAATTCAGTCGAGGCTTGTATCAGTCTGCATTTAATCAGGAGGCAGAAACCAACGGTGATCTAAGCAGGGGACATTTAATATAAAGAATTATTAAGCTATGCTGGAAGAATAGCCTCTAAGATGTAAGAGAACTCTGTGTGGTACCCCAGGGCTAATGGAGAGTAGCTGAAGGACACACTTGAATGGAGGCCTCTCCCAAGGATGGGGTTCAGACCTTGTTGGAGAAGGTCTAGTTGTGGCCCACTGGATGGCAGAGAAATGTGCTGATGTGCTCAGGCCAGAGCTGGTTTATAGTTGCTGGGCAAGCAGGAAACAACCCTCTGGGACACAGGCAATCCCTAGCCGGTAAACGGGTACCCAGATGGCATCACTGTGGGCCTTGTATTCACATTGGGAGAGTCACCAGAGACAACCCTGGGCTGGAGGTGGTTATTGGAGATTGGCATGCTTATTAAGGAGTGCGTGGATAGGATTTAGTGCATTAGAGGTAGTTATGATCACCAGGCAAATAAGTAAAGGAGAAGATGGCCAGCTAGACTCCCTAAAATTTATATTAAGTTTTTTATTTAAAGATTTTTTAAATTTTTTTTCTTTTTCTCCCCAAAGCCCCCCAGTACATAGTTGTATATTCTTAGTTGTGAGTCCTTCTAGTTGTGGCACGTGGGACGCCGCCTCAGTGTGGCCTGATGAGCAGTGCCATGTCTGCACCCAGGATTCGAACCAACGAAACACTGGGCCGCCTGCAGCAGAGTGCGCCAACTTAACCGCTCAGCCCTGGGGCTGGCCCCTATTAATAAGTTTTTTAAAGGAAAATATTTGCCATTGATGTGTGTCGTTAGATGAGTGTTTACCTTTCAGGTTTATTTGTGTATGACGTGTGGCTTAGCCTTCAGAGATTTTTCACATAGTATGAATTTTCTGAGATCTCAATGTGAAAAGTTATCACAGTATTGCGCAAGCAAATTATAAAGGCCAAACGTACCTAAAATCTCACTCCCAAGAGATCATACTTTCATTTTTGTATGTCCACTTTTAGTTTTTGTCTCATATACATATAATATACATATAATCATATACATATAATCTTAATTATGACAAAATATTTATTTTTTTAAAGACTATTATCTTAGGCAACTCCCTTCGCCCCCGTTCTGTATGATTCTCATGATTAGTGCTTGTCAGTGAGTAGATGTATCCTCATTATCGATTCCCTTCATCAAATGGTAAATTAATTAAGGACAGTGCCTTTGTCTTAAATAGTCTTTCTTCTTTTGTTTTAAATTCAAGGCATCCATCACAGTGTCCGGCACACTATAGGCAGTAACTTCTTGTTATTTGAAATTATTTGATGGACATTTAGGACAATTCTTGTTGTTAGCTGTTAATATTGCTATAATCACCTTGGTGATTATAGCTCTTTTTCTTCTTTTGAATTCTTTCCTTGGGATAAAGGAGTGTCAGAATGAGAATACAAACCCAGGGGTATGAACGTTTTTGTTTTTGAAACAGGTCACCAAATGGCCTTTATGGAAGTTTGTACCAATTTATTCTGTTCCCAGCAATGTAGCGAGTTTGCATTTGCTTGCAACCAGCAGTGGATATTATAAATTTTTTAGAGATTGTTAATTTAATAAGTGCAAAATGGAACCGCAATTGTTTTTTACATTTCTTTAATATAAATTGTGTTTGAATATTTTTTCATGTTAGATTACCAATTCTACTTCTTATCGTGTCAGTAGTCAATATCATGTGCCTTTTTAACCTGCCGAGTTTTGAGTATTTTTAAAAAGAATGTAAGATCTTTCAGAAGATAAATGTCATCCACATAGGAAATCAGAGAAAAATATTGACATCGATGGGGCTGTCTCTCCTTGGAAATGTCTTTCCTTAGATTTTAGGTAAGTTATTTCCCCTGAGATTTCAGCTGTCTGATGTGTTCAAGGAAAAATTTCAGATTATCTAGCTATTTTTTGTTGTATGAGTGGGGCCATTCTCTTCAGTTTTCTACATCTTGAGACAAGGTGGATTTCTTGGTTTTTTATTTTTCAAAGTGGACCACACTTAATTTTTAAAAAATCGCTTAACAACTGTTTGTGGATATTCAGTAGCAACCAATGCAATGTGATGATTTTTGAGAAAGGAGGCACATAGCATGAATCTTACACTCACCCAGACTTTCTCCCTGGGAATATTGACCTAGTTGTGGCACAGAGAGTTAGAGCCTTTCTCAGTGTGTGGAGGAGGTGGAGATCAGACCGTCTGTATTTTTTTTACATATTGTATTAATATTGAGAAATGTGTAGAAAGAGCACCAAATAGTGGTGTGCGTGACATTACTGGTTGGGTGACCAGAGCTGTTTTCAGGGCTACCATGTATGGTTGGGATAATTGTGCCTTGACATGGGTAACTGGCCTAAGAGGCAAGCGGGGAATTGGAATCCTGCCCTTGTTCCATTTGCCATGTCCTGAACCTGTGAGATTGTGTCTGTTTAGGAGCTACTCTTTCACAACAGGCCCCAAAGTGCCATATGGGCTATTCTGGCCATTCCTTGCACCTTTCTCTGTTGTCTTCTTACACTATAGAGTGTGGAAAAGCTAAGTATTCACTTTTCCAGTCTATCTTGCATCTTATCTTGCAATGGTGGTGGTATTGACTGTTGCTCATCTCCTAGTCTCCATTCTCTTCTACTTCCATAGAAATTGCTAAATTTCCCAGTACCACCACTGGACCAAGGAAAACAGGGTCCCGCCCCAGGGCATGCAGGGAGTCCTATATTTTGATTTCCTTCCTCTACATTTTTATTTTTTGCGGAAGATCAGTCCTGAGCTAACATCTGCTGCCAATCTTCCTTTCTTTTGCTGAGGAAGACCGGCCCTGAGCTAACATCCATGCCCATCTTCCTGTACTTTATATGTGGGACGCCTACCACAGCATGGCTTGCCAAGCGGTACCATGTCTGCACCCGGGATCCTGGCTGGCAAATCCTGGGCCGCTGAAGTGGAATGTGCAAACCTAACCACTGCACCACCGGGCCGGCCCCTCTCTACGTTTTTTAAGTCATCTACTGTTGCCTAGGCTGGGTCCAATAGTGCTGTCAAATGGGTGGTTCCAAGAATAGATTGTGACCTCTGTGGGCCCTGGGCTCCATTTCTCCCTTTTGGGGCACTCTCTGATCTTTCACTCGGTGTGAGGAGTTGACCAGGTGTCCTGAGGAGCTCCAGAATGCACACCAATAGGGTTGTCCCAGGGCCTTGTGGCTGCGCCTGAGTTCTAGGACATTGGCCAGCATGGTTTTTCTTTCATAGGATCACATGAGATTGGGCTATCAGAATGATGCCGACAGTGATTTTGGGTGCTGATAGTGACTCATTCATGTCACGCACAGGTTGAATTCAGGGCTCTGGGCCACTCTGGGTCCACTGCCAACCCTTGGGTGTGAGCTGCGTTTGTGGGTCCTTGTGTCAGCTCTTGTTTATCTGTGTCCCTACTGCCATGCTGCCTGTGGTCTACAACACCCAAGCACCATGGAGGTAGCAGCAAATGTCCTTTATTTTGTGCATTCCCCAGGGTTTGGCACCCAAGGTGGTCACTCTACCCGCTCCGCAGGCTCTGGCACAATATGTCGGGCAGTTGTCTGGGGGTAGCTACGCCTGTCTCCTCTGAGGTTTTTCAACAGGCTTTCCAATAGATGTTGTCTCTTCCCTCTGATTGATGTAGTGATGCCATGCAGTCTGGGTTAGGCTTAAGCTGTGCTGGATGGGGATGGCTTGGGTTAATTGAACTGCTTTTCTCACTCTGCCCATGAGCCCATTGCTTATCCTCCCCACTGGTGGTGGTGTATGGAAGGGAGAGGTGTGATCAACATTGAAAAACATCACATTCTAGGAATGCAGTGATTATAGCGGTTACTGTGGTCTGAATGTTTGTGTTCCTCTCAAAATTCATATGTTGAAATCCTAATCCTGATGTGATGGCACTAGGAGGGGGGCCCTTTGGGAGGTGCTTGGGTCATGAGGGTGGAGCTCTCATGAATGGGATTAGTGTTCTTATAAAAGAGATCCCACAGAGCTCCTTAGCCCCCTTCCACCATGTGAGGACACAGTGAGAAGGCACCGTCTGTGAACCAGGAAGAGGGCCCTCACCAGAATGTGACCATGCTGGCACCTTGATCTTGGACTTCCAGCCTCCAGAACTGTGAGAAATAAATTTCTGTTGTTTATAAGCTACCCAGTCATTGGTATTTTTTTACAGCAGCCCCAATGGACTAAGACAGCAGTTCAAGAGAAGTCAAGGTTGTAAAATGTGTGATTCAATGATCATGCTATAACATTCCAAATGATAAATTTAACACAACCAGAAAACTTATTACAGTTCACATTTTCCTGCATATTCTGTGTAAGACTTGTATTTGCAGTCATTGTAACAAACTTTAAGAATGTTATTGGAAGCCAGTATTCGTGGGTGTCATGATGATGCATTATCATTAGTAATGATGTAACCACTATTAAATAAGTGGTACTAGAGAGCTGAAGAGGCAAGAAGATCTATAGTGTTTCAATACTGTGGTGAGTTTGAGGATTTCAGGGCTGATCAAGAAAAAGACAAGGCCACGAGATGGCACTATTGTACAACAAACTTTATTGGGCAGCCCCTGCACTGGTATGAGAGGGAAAGTCCCGTAGAGAAAGAACTCACCCAGCAGGGGAAGAAGGCAAGGGAATTCCTGGGGGAGAGAGGAATTAGAAAGGAGGCTTAGAGATCTAGGCAGTGTCGCTCAGCAGCAAGGTGGGAGTCTCCGCGTCAGAGAGCTTTGAAGGGCAGCAGTGGTTTGGGGTCTTTTATGGCCACAGCGTTTGTCTTACCTATGGCCAGCAGACATTAGGTGCAGTTTCATGGGTTATACAAAGCAGGCAGGCTCTAAGTGATTAAAAATATGCTCATATGGGTTATATTTAAAGCAACTGGATGTGTAAGAATTTGTAAAATGTATAAAAATGGTATTTAAATATGTGTAGCCTTAAAGCTTGCTATAAATTCCTTATGTTTATAGGTTATTGCCCAATTACAACTGAATATTCAAATTCAATGATATTCAAATTGCATTAATTTTATGTTAGGGACAGTGATGTTTTGGTGAAACTAAATTGCTGTTCTAAAATGAATATTATACTAACTACTGTGGTATAGGTTCTTTTGATTTTGCCTTGGGACGCCTACCCAACCATATAGCTTGTGATGACTCAGTTTTTTCTGAGGAGGGAATGAGATCCTAACCCCTGCTCTCTCATATTTAGAGGTCTTTAGGGGGTGATCAGAGGAGCTCCTATAAAGGTCCCAGGTTATGCAGACCACTGAGGACTTCAGATAAAATTATCTTGAAAAGATGTGACCTAGGAGACATAAGAGCCTCGTGGATCCTAGAGAAGTGTTGGCCTCAGTAGGATATGGCTGAGGGCTGGATGCTTCTCTGGACCCAGCTTTCTTGGCAATGTGGGAAACAGTGGTTAAGGATGATTGTGCGATAAAAACAGTTGTAAACTTTGAGTCCCATGTTGGGCATCACAGCGGTCCGGGAAGGATCCAGACAAATGAGGACATCCAGCGGTGGTGGACAAGTGATGTTCTCGGAACCAGTCAGGACAGTCTGAGAAAGGTATGCAGGACTGTGTGTAGGCTTCTACCTGAGGACTGGACTCACTTCTTCCTGCTCCTGACCCTTTCTCACTCATTCAGGGTGGCTGTCTCTACGCAGGACCAAAAAGCACCACCTTTTTGACATCCCGAGGGTCTTCTGGTTATACAATAAGATTGCTCCTCTATTCCTGACTTTCATCCATTCAGCAACTGTTTTGGAGGCTCCTCGGTGCTGAGATTCCCACCCCGTCCAGGCCAGCCCCTCAGCCCTTTTCAGGTCTCCCGCCAGGTCCCTGATTGCTCTTCTAGGCCCTGAAGGGAGGGACCCACTGCTAAATGGGAACTCCACTGGACAGGGGCTGGACCTGTCTCCGGTCTCCAAGGAAAAGGATGACCTCCGCGGGCTCCGCTGCTCATTGGCCCGGATGGGCCCCGCCACTTCACCAAATACCCAATGAAATGGATGTCCCGTTTCTTGCTCCCGCCTTAGGCTCCGCCTCCTTTCGACTCAGAAACCAGTGGCTCGGGGGAAGACAGGGACCTCATCTCGCCCCCTGTCTCTTTTCCTCAGCCTTATCTCGCGGGAACTAGAAAGGAGGAACCACCGAGTTGTGGGGTCCTCCAAGATTACTAGAGAGAAGCTCAGGGAAGGTACGGGTTGGTAAGTCAGTGTGATGACGTACTTCCGGCGCAGCCAGTATTGTTTTTTAGGCGTGAGGCTTTGGCTTGTGAGGACTGGCGAAGCGTCAGCCAAGTTTGTGTTCTGTGGCGAGCCGCAGAGGCCGGCTAGAGCCCACGGTGAGCGGGTCTGGCTTAGCCTGAGAAAGACGGGAAGGACCCCCGGGAGACGGGCGCGGCTACTGCTGCTTTTGGGGTCCTCATCCCAACTCCCGGCCTCCCCTCGATCGCGTCGAGAGGAGGCGCTGGCAGGCCCAGGACGCTGGCCGCAGCTTCTTGCACCCTGGTTTCTCGTCCCCAGGACAACCTAGTGCCTATTCAGATTCGAGTACTGACACAAATTCGAGTGTTGACACCGAGGTCCTCAACAACTTTTAACTATCTGCGCTCCAGCACTTGCTATCAAGAGAGAACACGCCCCTCAGTCACTCCATCCCCCTTTTACCCCGGCTGCGACGACCCCAGCCCTCCCCTTGGCCTGTGTACCATTAACACTTTTTGTCCCTTTTCAGGTGGCCTCAGGAAATCGGTCTATGATCACTATTCACTTCACTCGCCTGGCCTGGTGTAGACCCAGTCTGGAAGCTTATTCCTATCCGTAGAGCGATCAAAGTTTTGAGAGTACTAAAGTGGTTGTTTATTTCCCGCAGGATGGAGGCTTCTTAGTCCACAAATTGGAGAACGTGGAGTCCTGGATTTGGATTGGCCTATGTGAATGTTTAATCTAAGAATCTCCTGATGAGTCATACCCATCAAGCACCTTATATGTGTCCAGTGTTTAGCATATAATTTCCTATGCACAGTATTGGAGATATGGAGAGATTGGTTGACATAGTTCTCTACACGTCCTTTGTTTCACTCTTCTCATTCCGTTCTCTTAACTTTTACTCACTGTCATAACGTAATTGTTAAGGTTTGTAATCAATCAGGTTATACCTTTGGTCCCAGCCATTAGTGGAGTGTGTTGGGTTGTAATTTGTTCTCCATCCAGACTTGTTACTTCTGCTTCACCTCCAGAGCTGTGCTAGGAAAGTAGGAAGGGGTGATTGTGTTTTGTAGGGTGGCCTCTGCTCCTGTTCTACTTCCAGATGAGTTGCTTTTCACAGATTGTCAGTTGTGCAGATCAGACCTTTTTGCTTAAGTCCGTTTGTTTAATATGTCAATATTATTAAGTATCCACTTCAAAGGACATTTATGATGAAGATATGATGACAGTATGATTTAAGAGAATTAGAGTACACAACTACAAGGGGTACCTCTTTACTCAGTATGAATCACTGCTTTTGTTACTCTTGGACAGAAGCTGTCTATGAATTTAGCAACATTACTTGTATAGGTTTGCGTTGTGTTTTTTTTTTTTTTTAAAGTTCTTCTGTTTACACTTGTAACTACTCTTTTTCCTTATTGGAATCCCTGTAACTGCCAAGATGTGGTTTTTAGCTTCTGACAGCTCTGTTTCCCGGACAGCCTCAGCTTCCTCTACCAAACTGGATGGCTTTCTGGATTCACTAAGGAGGGTTAATGGAGGAAAGGGCAGTGTACTGACTATATGAAGTGTTTTGTCAGATGCTCTTGCAGTACCCTGAGACTTAACAGCAAACTGCTGATATGGAGTTGAATTGGAAGTTGTGGGTTTTTTTGTTTTTTTTTTTTTTAAAGATTGGCACCTAAGCTAACAAATGTTGTCAATCTTTTTTTTTTTTCTGCTTTTTCTCCCCAAATCCCCCCAGTACATAGTTGTATATTTTAGCTGTAGGTGCCTCTAGTTGCGGTATGTGGGATGCTGCCTCAGTGTGGCCTGATGAGCGGTGCCATGTCCACGCCCAGGATCTGAACCAGTGAAACCCTGGGCCACCGAAGCGGAGTGTGCGAACTTAACCACTCGGCCACGAGGCTGGCTGGCCTCTAGAAGTTGGGTTTTTGTTTTGTTTTGTTGTTTTTTGAGGAAGATTAGCCCTGAGCTAACTGCTGCCAGTCCTCCTCTTTTTGCTGAGGAAGACTGGCCCTGAGCTATCATCCATGTCCATCTTCCTCTACTTTATATGTGGGACACCTACCACTGCATGGCGTGCCAAGCAGTGCCATGTCCACACCCAGGATCCGAACCGGCGAACCCCTGGCTGCCAAAGCAGAACGTGTGCACTTAACTGCTGTGCCACTGGGCCGGCTCCTGGAAGTTGTTTTTAAGGTCTGCAAGTATGTGCACTTTTGTGCTTATTAAATATCTTGGATCTAACTGATAACAGTGCTTTGTGTTTCAGGTGTTGCCTTTAATGCATAAACTTTGCTGATTCACTCTGTTGAATGAGCTAGTTAACTGACTTAGAAAGGGAGTTGGAACTAGTTTAGAAATGAAATTGCTTTGCTTCCCCTATACTATAATATTTAGAACTTGGAGTATTTGAGACATGTCATAAATTTGATGGATAGTTTAATATGATACTGTTTTTCATCTCACCACCTGTGCCCAACACTGTTATAAAATTGAGTGAACATCTTATAATCAATCTGTGTATTTAGAGGGAAAAATATTGGTAGGGAGACATCAAGATATTCTTAATAAGCTATTTTCAAATTGTTTTGACTTTTATTACTTGCATAATGGAACTGTCCTATCCTAATATCTTTGGTAATATAAAAGGGAAAACAGACGCTGAGGTGCTACAGTGTTTGATGGATTTCTCGTACACAACTCATTCCTACCTGTCTTGTGTGGATTCCAGGGATCTTAACAGGAGCACCGGCTTTCTTTTCAGCCCATAACATTCTATGCACCAGCTTCCTTTTCTGTTCTCTTTCCTATGTCTTCTCTGGATTACTGAAAATTATAGTTTTGTCAGTCCACCTTCTCATCTGTTTGCTGAACTAGTCAGCTGAACACTGTACATAGGAAACTATATGCTAAATATATTCTTGAGATGATTTCTGTTTCTTTTTTGCATTTCCTTCTATGCCTGCTACCTCACCTCTGTGAGATGAGAATTGAAACTGACCCAAGGCAATAACTGATGAGTAGTAGTTCATATAGCCTCAAAACAGGATGAGCCAGATGTTGTGTACAGGAGTTATGGTCAGTAGAGTCATTATCACTAATGCTTCTTTCTTTCCCTTCAGCTCCTGAGACTTTTACCTTTCTCCAAGATGGGAATAAAAGAGGTCAGATGATGACAGCAGTGTACTTAGCAGCCAGGCCCCAGCTGAGCTTGGTTTCCTCTGCCTCTGCGCATATGCATGTGTGCATATACATATATGTGCATATATAAAAGTATACGTGCATATGTAGATATACATTTGTATAAATTGTATATTCATATAGAAACATTTATAAATATGCATATATAAAAATATATGTTTACTTTCTCATTGAGGTATAACATTTACAACACAAATCTGAACTGTATAGCTCACTTTTTAGAGACATATACACCTGTATGCCCATCACACATGTTAAGACATAGAACATTATCAGTACCTCAGAAGGCTCCCTTGTGCGCCATCCCAAGCAGTCCACCCCAAAGTTGACCTCTATCACCATAGATTAGTTTTATTTGTTCTTGAACTTGATATAAATGGAATCATTCAATATGTACTCTTTTGTGTCTGCCTTCTTTTGCTCAACATTATGTCTGTGAACTTCGCCCATGTTGGTGCACACAGCAGTAGTTTGTTCTTTTTCATTGCTGCATAGTTTTCTGTTATATGATTAGGCCACATTTTATTCAGTCTACTGTGGATGGGCGTTTTGATTATTTCCAGTTTTTGACTACTATGAATAGGAATGTAGTGAAGATTCTTGTATATGCCTTTTGGTGGACATGTGCTCATTTCTCTTGGGTATATCTTTAGGAGTCAGATTGCTAGGTCATAGGGTATATATTTGCTGCCCACCAATTTTCCAACCATTGGAAATAATTGTTCCAGTTTATACTTTTACCAGCAGTATATGAGAGTTCCAGTTGCTCCACATCCTTGCCAACATTTGTTGTCATTCATTCTTGATATCTCATTGGGATTTTTAAATTTCCTTTTCCCCAATAATGATGTGGAGCACCATTTCATATGTTTATTGGCTACGTGGATATCCTCTTATGTGAAGTCCCATTCAGATAGTTTCCCCATTTTTTTTTATTACATTGTGTGTTGCTTTTTCTACAAATTGTAGTTCTTTATTATGGATATGAGTCCTTTGTCAGATATGTGTATTTTGAAATATCTTCTCCCAGTCTGTGGCTTGCTTTTTCACTCTCTTAATGATGTCCTTTGATAAACAGATTTTTCTCTAGCCAACCCCAAGTAAGCAGTATTTTCCTATGCCTCTCTAACCTCGCTACCTCTCCATGGGGGTGAGGAGTCATTAACAAATTCGAGAGGTTTGTGCCTGGAGCAGTTAGTGGGCAAGGAGATAAGAATGAGGGAAGAACTGGGATGAAAGCAGAACTAGGAAATGGCAGTAATAGGAGCAGCCTAAATAATCACGCAAATATATCACAAAGTGGGGAGGGGCTTAGAGCTAAGGTGGCAGCCGTATCCAGTTATATGTTCATTCTCTTTTATATATATGCTTTCATGCTCAGGCCCAAGCCCAGCTATACTGTAGTCTATTGGGAGGTCATATATGTTTGGAAGCTCAGAGTGGAGATGTACTTGGTTCTCACTGGGCAAGTATGCTGAACTCTGACTGGCTGTTTGCCTTTAGTTTGTGTCCTCTTCCTCCACACCTTGCAAATTTCACACAAGAACCTCTCAGGCACATGAGAGACCCATTACTAAATATGAATCATTGTAGGTGTCCTTCCCAGCCTCTTACTGACAGTTTTGACCATCATCAGAGTCTTGAGGCCTGGGAGAGCAGGAACTCATCGTTTCAGGAATCAGTGACTTTTGAGGACGTGGCTGTGTACTGCACTGAGAAGGAATGGACCAGCCTGCTGCCTGCTCAGAGGGCCTTGTACAGGGATGTGATGCTGGAGAACCATAGGGCTGTGGCCTTCCTAGGTAAGGCCTCTCTGTTGCTGGTCTCTGCCTGGGCCCTCAGAGGTTAAAGGGCTCTCTTATAACTATTACCTGGCCCAAATGGCAGTGTCAGGAGTTGCCAGGTTTGGAGAGCCCTGGCATCTATTTGACTTCCAAGAAGGCTTCCCTTCTTTTTCCATCATAAAAGCTCCCCTCTCTCCCTTCCTGCCTTAGTGGTGATTCTCTGGGTACAGCAGGGCTTGAACTATATCTTGATGCCCTTACGCTAGTACTGAACCTCCAGATTATCTAGAGAGAGCTCAGCCCCTTGGTCTCCCTGTGGGAGTTGCTCCTCGGAGCTCTGTGTCTGTTTCCCCACAGTGGTAATTTCCCATCCTCTAACAAAGAAGGTAAGATATTCTATTCCTCTTTAAGTAGAAATTTGCCTCCCAGAGTGTTTCAAGCTTCCTTGAGAGCACTGTCCTAAGGCTTCTTCCCAGGACCCCTCCTTGTACCTCTTTAGAGTACCTCTTGCTCAGTCCATCCAGGAGTCACTCTCCTTAGCTCTGGCTCTTCTTGTAGCCACAGGCTGAGATTGACCCCTGTGACTCTGCTCATCATTGTGTTGTGTCTTCTTCCCTTCAAGCAGCATCACTCACTTCCAAACCAGCTCTGATCTCTTAACTGGAGCAAGGGAAAGAGCCCTGTTTTACTCAGTCACAGGGAACCCTAAGCAGAAGGAGCAGGAGAGCAGGCCGTACAGGTGAGTGTACCAACCTAACCACTGGGCCAACAGGGCTGGCCCTCTCATATCCTTTTTTTAAACAGCTTTATTGAGGTATAATTCACAAACTAAACAATTCACATTTAAAGTGTACAGTTCACTGGTATTTAATATATTCACAGAGTTGTGCAAGCATTACCACAGTCTACTTTTAGAATATTTTTGTCACACAAAAGAAACCCCATATCTGTTAGCCGTCACTCTTCATCCTGCCTTCTCCCACACTATCAGTTTTAGGCAAACACTTATTTACTTTCTGTTTCTATAGATTTGCCTATTGTGGATATTGGGTATTAATGTTATCATGCAATACGTGGTCTTTTGCAACTACCTTTCACTTAACGTGAATATACCTCAAAGAAAGTGATATTTTTAGTAGGCCGTTGGAGGCCTTGCCTCCTCTCCTCTCCTGTGTTCTCACGTCATATCGTGCTTCAGGGGGAAAGCTGTTAGCACTGCATTTCAAAGGCAGAGTTCTTAAGAGCACAGACCTGGGAGCCAGAGTGCTGGTTATTAGCTATGTGACTTTGTTTCAGTTTTCTCATCTATAAAATGGGGACAGTAATGGTATCTCCCTCCTCTGTCCATTAAGTCAGTAATCCACGTACTGGCACATAGTGCCTGGTCAGTACTTATTAGCTATTGCCGTTGCTCATGTTAATTCCCAGCCTGTTCTGTCTGCTTTCCTTGTAAATGGGCTTCACTTCTTCTCATCTTCTGTCTCCCTGGTTTGTCCTCAACCCCTGGTGGGGTTTCTGTTTTCCAGACCTGCTGATGCTTTCAGCTAGAGCAAGGGCAAGAGGCTTGGGGCTTGGGGCTTAAGGGTTGTTGGATCAGAGATGCTGTGAGGGGCATCCGAGGTGGTGAGTGCTGGGACGCTGGTTACTTGCCTCCTCCTACCACACGCAGTCTTTGCTGTGAGAGAACTTCTATTATCATATTTCTGTGAGACTTGTCACAGGAGAAAGGATCCTCTAGGAACTCACAGATTGATCATCAATTCAGTGGGATTACACCTTGTTGTCTCTTTATGTTGTCAGTTGTTCTTGGTGAAGTAAATCTGAGTCCATTCTCGTTTTTAAATGGTGGTATGTATACATCTCACCTGAGACCTTGTTAAAATGCTTAACAAAGGCTCAGCTCTATCCAGTCTGTAGCCCAGGAATCTGCATGTTTAACAGAGCATTCTAAGGGATTCTGATGCAGATGAATATGACCACATTTTGGGAAATACCGACCTGTAGTCGGTCTGGCATGGCAAAGACTTGCATTATGATTCATGGGCTATTTGGGGTGGTGGCTTAGATCCATGTTCTCCTAATCCAGTACTATGTTCTCTAACTATTATATTTCCCCAATAAGTTACAAGCTTCCTCATAGCAGGAATAATCTCATTTATCCCATAATATTTTATACAAAGTTACTTGATATTTTTTGTTTTTCTACTTGATTGATTGATGAGATTCTCTCCTAACTTTATTCCTCCCGATTCTTTCTCCATTCCTTCCCTGCCCTCTCTAAACCCTCTATTTCACTTTCCCTTCACTTTCTGTTCTTAGGCGTTTTACACTATCACTCATTCATTTAGTACCCACAACTTTCCCTTATTGACTTCCTGTCCTCTTAGCTACCTTTTCATCTTGAACTCTTTTTGGACCCCTAAACCCTAATAAAATTTTCTCTTCCCTCTTAGGATTCAGAACTTTTCCTTTCCTTGTCTCATTCCTTATGTGCTCTACAGGCATTTTATCAACATATGAAAGCCATGTACTAATAGGATGTGTTAATCACACTTGATGATTAATTCAGGCAAACTATGGCCTGTAGGCAAAATCTGTCCTGCCGCCTCTCTTTTCTCGTATGGCCCATGAGAGAAGAATGGTTGAATTTTTTTAGTGGATGGAAGAAGTCAAAAGAAGAATACTATTTTGTAATATATGAAAATTTTATGAAACTCAAATTTCAGTGTCTATAAATAACAACGTTTTTATGGGAACATAGTCACATTTGTTCCTTTACATATTGTCTGTGCTACTTTCACGCTACAACAGTAGAGTTACAATAGAGACGATATGGCCTAAAGAGCCTAAACTATTTGCCAGATAGCCCTTTACAGAAAAAGTTTGGTAATGCCTCATCCAGTTCCCTCTGGCATTGCTGAGAGGTGGTATTTTCATGAATTTCTTCTTCTCTTATTAGGTGGAAAAACCTGGGCTGAGAAAGAGTGTTTGACTTCAAAGCAAATAATTTCTGATAAACACAAATCCTATGGCATGGGATCAGGTGAATATCTGAGGGAGGGAGCTGATTTTCAAGATACCTGCGAGTCAGAGGGCAAGTTAGATAGGCATAGAGGAGATTGCGTAAGGCATAGAATGAATAAAAGTCAGAGAAATTCTGTGAAGGAGATAGTTAATAATGAGAAACTTGCTATAGCAAACAGAAGCCATCCACAAAAGAAATCAGAAAAAAATGTTAGTGTGTGTTCTCAGCGTGAAACACATCTGCAAGTTCCAGGTGTACAGATTTCCTGTAAATCTGATGTGTGGGACAAACATTGCAGTCATAATTCAGACTTTTTCCAGCATCGGAGAAACCACACTGGAGAAAGGCCATATCAACATAGGGAGTGTGTCAGTCTTTAGCCTTAGTTCCACTTTTGTTCATCACCAAGGGATCCACAGTGGAAAGCAACCCTATGTGTGCAAGGAGTGTGGCAAGGCATTCGGGGGCAACTCCCATTACACAGCCCACTGATGAATTCACACTGGAGAGAACCCTATCAGTGTAAGGAGTGTGGTAAAGCCTTTAGCTTCAACTCCAGTTTTATACGTCACTGAAGGATCCACATGTGGAGCTACCTTACACATGCAAAGAGTGTGGCAAGGCTTTTAGGGCCAGCTCCCACTGCACCAAACACCAACGAATCCACACTGGGGAGAGGCTCCATGAGTGTAAGGAGTGTAGCAAAACCTTTGTTTTCAAATCCACAGTTTCATCATCGGAGAGTGCATATGGTGGGGAGAGACCGTTTAAATGCAAGGACTGTGCTAAGACCTTTGGTGAGAAAAATACCTTTTTTCGGCATCAGAGAATTCATACAGGTGAGAAACCGTATTTATGTAAGAAGTGTGGCAAAGCTTTCCGTGTGAACTCACAGCTCATTCACCACCAATTGCTACATACTGGAGAGAGACCCTACCGATGTAGAGTGTGGGAAAAGCTTCACTCGGAACTCAAACCTTGTCCAGCATCAGAAAATTCACTCTGGGAAGAAAGCCTATCAGTATAAAGAATGTGGAAGGCCTTCAGGCAGAAAGGCAATTTAAATCAACGTCAGCAAATCCACTCTTGCAAGACAGATTTCCAAGAAAGTTCAAGATTGGAGCAGCACCAGAGACTCCATGATAGAGAAGGACACTGAGAACGTAAGGATTGTGGGAAAATCTTTATTCAGAATGCAAGTTTGTTCACCATCAGAGTATTCACTCAGGAAACAAACTTGTAAATGAAATTGTTGGTTCATGTATCTCCCAAGTGCAGGTTATTCGGCTCCCTCCCTACTTGGCCTGGCCACACCAATCCTGCCCTTCACCTCACCTCTCCCCAGAGGGCTCCCTCTGCTCCAGCCAGTACTTTCTCCCTGCTCTCTGCATCACACACTCTCTCACTTCCTACCTCACAGCGGTTGCTCTTTCATCTCCCTCAGATGCCCTCCCCTCTTCTCTCTCCTTTTCTTTGATCTTTCCTGGACTTAAATAGGCCCTTTGAAGTTTGCAACTTTGATACTGCCTTTTGCACGGTCTTACATACACCCTCCTCCACCTTGAATTGTTACCTTTTCTAGATGACCACATTATACTTGCTACTCAGTTATATGCTGGGGGTTTTTTCCTCCTGTAGTAGACTCAGATTTTTATTTTTAACTGTTGTAGCCAACTTGTCACTTCTCAAGGACAGGAGTCCCGTGACTAGATGAAAAAAGTCGGGAAATTTGGATATATTTCCATTGTAAGTGAATGTGTAGCATGACCATTTGAATGTCAATACAGGAATGATAGAAATGAGCAATTTCACTCAGCCCAGGAAGGGAGAGATTTTTACAGAAACTGACGATATTGCTGTAAGAAACGGACCTTGTAGGAGGCTATAAACTAGTAGTAAGTGGGAACTGTTCCTTGGCTGTGCTTCTTCAAGGGGTGATTTCATCAGGACTGCCCTGTACAACTGGGTATTAGCCACTGGACTCATTTGCCATTTCACAGAAGACTGATCTATTAAACAAAAAGTCAATTTGTTATTTTTCCATATGGTACGTATTTTCTGGGTCCAAAGGATTATTTGCTGTCTAGTTTCCATCTATCTGTCTCTCTCTCTTTGTAAGTAGGTGGCATCAACAACTCTGCCTGCCATTGGCAGCCTTGAGTATCCTTGTGGAGTATAGTGCATAACAGGCAAAGGGGAGGTGGGAGGGCAGGTATGGAGGATGTCCGGAACAAACTGCTGGCATGGCCTGCCCTTTCCTACTGAGACCCATAAGATGTTTTGATGCCTCCTTTATGTGAGCAGCACATCTTTTATGGAGAACAGGGCTGTCCAGGAAGTCCTCTTCTTAACAATAATAGAAATAACCATAGTTCCACTACCATTAATTGAGCACTTACCATGGACCATGCGCTATGTTATGGACTTTACATGCTTTATTTCAATCCTATAATAGGTCTGAGGGGTAAGGGGTTATTATTGTCACCATCTTTCAGATGAATACATTGGGGTTTATTGAGAGGTCAGAATTCAAACCCAGGGAGTGTGACTCCAGGACTCACACATGTGATCTTGGTTGCCCCACTTCCTTTATTCATCTACCCCTGTTGGGACTTTGTGTCCCAAGCCAGGATCTTTGAAGTCAGGCATCCCAAGTGTCTCTTCCCTACCCGCCCTGCACCACTGAAACACCTCCCACAATCCGGCTCCCACAAATGAAGCCTGTGGAAGGGCCAGTCACAGCCTCTGTCTACCTTCCCACACTCAGGACTGGTAGCAGCTGCAGATCTTGCTCCAGGGGCTTTCTGGTGAGGAATCAGACACTTACAGAAAATAATGGGAGTAAGAGAGGGGTTGGGGAAAGCAGCTGCAGCCTTGAGCACAGCCTGGGGATGCGAAAGAAGGTTAGAGAGAACCGTGTTGGTTGGAAACAGATGGTACGTAAATGAATGTATTTGGGAGGATCTGATTGTGTATATAGCAGAACCAACTGTTGAGAGAGTCAAATGTGCCGAGGAGTTGATAACCACTTGGACTTGCTAAAAATTGAATTAATTTTAAGCAACACACTAGTATCTCAGTTTCATTTGATTATGAGACTGGTACTAAGTAGCCTACGTAATTCAGTTTGTTTATGTATTGAATATTATCACAGGACAATGAAAAAGTTATCTCACTCTTGTACAAATAAATTATGACTATTTTAAGTAAAATTTAAAGAAAAATGTACCTCCCAATTCCACTGCCCCAGTAGATCCCCATTTTTATTTCTCTGTGTTCATTGTTATCCCTTGTCCGTACGTGTATATATAATTGAACCATAACAGATAAAATGTTATGGCTTTGCCTTTCTTCCATTTTTCTTGTCTTAAGCATTTTCCCTCTTTCCCAGTTCTGTATAGTCTGCATAATTACTGTTTGTCACTGAGTGGATGTACCCTTCTTTAATTTCCCTCATCAAGTTGTGAAGTTTTTTGGGGTAGAGACTAAGTCTCAATCATTTTTTCCCCTCTAGCATCCATCCAGTAGGTGGTATTTCATTTTTATTGAAGTTCATTGATGGGCATTAGAAAATTTCTATTTTTGAGCTCTTGTAAATGATGTTACTGTCAACAATGCCATAAATATAGTTTTCCCCCCTTATTTTGAATCATTTCCTTGGAATAAATTCCTAGGATTGAGATTAACCAAACCCCAGGGTATAATCATTTTTACGTTTTAAAAGCATGCTGCCATATTGCCTTCTTAAAAGATTGTACTGATTTACTTTGCTACCAGAAATGTATGATACAGTATTTGATTTCAATCTTATCAGCAGTAGATATTATAACTTAAAAGATATTTTTAATTTAATTGGTATAAAATACTACTTGTTTGCTTCTATTTATATTTCTTTACTATAATTATTAAAGTTGAATGTTTTTCTATGTTAGTTTGCTAATTGTAAATCCTATGTGAAAAATTTGTCTTTTGTATCATGTGCCTTTTAATCCACTGAGTTTTTAATGTTTTGCTTAAGAATTTGAGATTTTAATGCAGTATATAAACACTCATTGTGTCGACCTCCAGAGAAGTGATACTTACTCATGTCTGCTTTATGCTATATTTAAAAACTGTAGTTCAATTTAAAAGCACCTAACCCGCTAGAGTTTATTTTGAAATGCCTAAAGTTACTCCCATTTCAGCAGATAAATATTCTTAGTCCCATTGATTTACGATGGCCCCATAATTGTATGTTTAAATTCTAACATATAATAGGTTTGATTTCCAGGCTTTCTGTTGTGCTCCATTAATCAATTAATCATCAAATCTTTTTTTCCTCCCCAGCAGTATGTCACACTATTTGTTATTGATTTTTTGGAGACTAAGTTCTGATTTCCTTTCATTGAGTCTGTTTCAATTATATTTGTTTCAAAAGTCTGTGTATGTTTCTGAATGTTTAAAATATATCATATTTGAAAAATAAAGGATAATAATAAATACCGTGTAACCATCACGTAGATTTTTTTAAAATGCTAATCTTGAGTGCACCCATTCTTTTTCCACATGTATTTTTCATGATTATATGGAAGCCATCGCATCTTAACATTTAAAAAGTGAGAGGGAAGATTGTGTAACAGGATGACTGTGAACTATTATTGCAAAGCTCCCTTTCTCCCTGTCCCACTGGCTGACTTCTCCTTCAACTCACTTCTTGGTGAAACCAGGAGTTGAGGTGTTTGATTACTGTGGATATAGACCTCCACTGTGAACAGAACACAAAGTTCCTGACTCACAATTATGAAGATTAAAGAACAGCTTGCCAGTTGTGATGCCAAAATAATTGGGGAAAATTTGCGACTCAGAAAAACTAGTTTCTCACCTCTTCCAAACAGAAGTAAGTTTATATAGAGGGTTTTGAGAAAATGATCCCTACTACCTCTACCATTCCCTGAGTGATTCAGGGAAGAAGTGGGGTTGGAGGCAAGAGAATCCTGTGAGGTACTTCTGTTTCTCATCTCTGAAGTTTGCTAATCATGAGCATCAAAATCAACAGATACCTTCTATGCTGTTACCAGGATGTGGGGCAGAGTGGCAGGAAAGACCATCTCCTTTCCCTGCCATGACTCAGCCATGACTTAGTGTTTCTGTTGAGTAGAGTTTGGCATGGGTGTTCCCAGTAGGCATGAAGTAGGCTATGGAAATGGGAGCCCAAAGTGGTTTGGCAGACCTAAAGACTTCCCTTTGGCAAGAGGAATCCATCAGTAGAGATGTCAGGGTAGACTGTTTAGTGAGGACAAGTGGCTATGCCTCATTTGGATTTCCTAATCCAAGAGGCTGCTCAGACCTAATTGGGCACCTGTATCTAGTGTGCCACCCCATGATAGACTCAGCATTGGAGGCCATCCATGCCAAGAAAACCAACTGCCTGACCAGCAACTGGAAGAGAGGAGAAGCCCTGAAATGGAGACTCTGAGCTGGAGACTTATTGAGATAATACCTGAAACACTGTCTTGACAGGACCATGTTACTGGATTGGACTTTAATAAAGTCTTTGCTCCAGGTAGATTGAGATAGAAAAGTCTGTGCAATTATAATAAAAATGGAAGTTTACTTTTTTACTGAGTTTTGAGGCTCAGTGGGAACTGACAGAGCCTATCTCGTTAACATTGCTAGAAAGTCAGTTAGGTCCTTCTAAACTTGACGACATCCCCAAAGTTGCAGCCAATTGGATGTGGTAGGACCAGTTAAAATTTTGTTTAAATTTTATATTTTAAATATCATTCAAAATATTTTAACTTAAGGTGGTGACTTGAACACCAACATCCAACTCTCTAACTCTCCTTCCTTGTGACCTGAACCTAACCTGAAAAGAATAAAAAGAGAAGAGAACAAATCTCATCTCAACCTGCTATCTTATTGACTCAACTCTTGGGGAGTTTTCTTCAGGCTGATATAGTTGGATCTGGATTGAAGTAGCGTCCTGAGGGATGACTCAAAACCTTTTCTGAGAAAATTTTTTTGTCATTGTCATTTTGGCAGCAAGTGGAGGAGGTATGAGCAAGGTTTTACTAATGTCCCTGGGTTTGGAGGAGCTAGGTAGGGCATGCTGAGTTACTGGAGGGAGAAAATGAGAATGTCGGTATCTGTTGCAAAAGTCCAGTAGTGATAGAAGCTCTATTAGATAAAGCCAAAGATCTTCTCTCTGACTTGTAGGAATAAGACAAGGAAGGAAAGTATACATAACATGGCCAGATTACAGGGCTTCTGAGTCAAGGAGAAAACTGATAAAGTCAGTACCTGGTGGATGGGTATCACTCAATGCAGGCGAAACCTACAGGTTGCCTCTCAGTTACTGAATTCTGACGGATCTCTGAATTGAAATGTTGACTGTATCAACTAGTCCTAGAGCTTAATGTCTGAGGGGAGGACCACTCAGATGGGCAATGAGGGGTCAAGAGAACCTTGTACACTATATTGTGTGATTGTTCACCAAAGATTCACTTATTCTCATTCCCACTCCTTTGAAGTCAGTCTTGGCCATGAGACTTGTTTTGACCAATGAAAAATGAATAAGAATGAAGGGCAAGACTTCTGGAATAGATAAGTGAGGACCTTAGCAAACACCCTCCCATAAAAACAAAACTGAAAAAATGTTATTGGTTACTTCGGGATGCTAGAAATTGACTAAGGAAGACATCAAATTGACAAATGTTTATTCAAGAAAACCTATCAAACCTCGGTAAGAACAGTGGGAGTTGGTGGTGTTTTAGCTTGGGGCTATTCCCACTCCCCAAGTCCAGCTCTATGGCTGGTAATTCTATGGAGCAAGCCATGAGGACTGACTGAAGAGCTTCCTGCTGCTGGGGAGGAGCATGGGAAAATGCATGCCCTGGGCTGTTGAGAACAATAATGGGATAGTTTGGGAACAATAGCAAACAATCTAGACAGGCCAACATTGCAGCTAGCTGGAAGTTGTGATACTGGTTGGGGCAGGCAATAGACCCGCAAGAAATGTAGCGGGGAGTTCCAGGGAACAAGACAGCCATAGTGGGCCTTAATAAGCTTAATAAAGCTTTGAGTAAGGTTAAACTTTTTATCCATAGTGTCTGGAATGCCATGAACTTATGCAAGACTGTGCGCACACCCAAGAGAGACCTGAGAGGGCCTCAGCTATCCATTTATCTCTGACTATATGTGAGACCTTAAGCATACAGGAAGTAAAAGCCAGGACAGACTTGTAAACTGCCTGAAATTGGAATACATTTCAAAACTCAAACACAGATCTATTAGCAAAAGGTGGAAACCTTACTGGGTCAAGGTGTTTAAGTACAACTTCTGACTAACCACTGGCTGATCACCAAACTATGTTGAACCAGGGGTAATCTCTAGGAAGCTAGTCTTAAAAATAGAAGAATTGATAAAAACCAAAAACTGAGCATAGACATCAGCAAATGCACACTGAAGGGGAGACCGACTATAGAATAAGTCGAGGCAAGTCACCAAACAAAAAAATCCCAACACAATAACCTGTCATGTGTGTGAAAAGATCAGAATCCAGAATTGCTAGAATGTATTATTTTAAATGTCAAGTTTTCAATAAATAGTTATGAAACATGCAAAACAGAACAGGAAAGTGTGACTACATGAGGGAGAAAAAGAAGTCATTAAAAACTGTTTCTGAGGGGCTCCAGATGTTGGATTTAGCAGACAAAGACACCACAGGATCTATTATAAGCAGCTCAAAGACCTTAAGTAAATCATATTTAAAAAATTAAAGTATGACAATGATTCACTAAATAGGGAATATCAATAAATAGATAGAAATTATGAAAAGAACCAAACAGAAATTCTGGAATTGAAAGTGCAGTAACTGAAATGAAAAACTCATTAGAGGGGCTCCACAGAAAATCTGAGCTGGCAGAAGTATTAGTGAACTTGAAGGTAGATCAGTAGAGATGATCCAATATCAAGAATAGAAAAAAGAATAAAGAAAAATGAACAGAGTCTCGAGACTTGTGGGACACTATCAGGCATACCAAAGTATACATAATGGGAGTACCAGAAGAAGAGAGAGAAGGCAGAAAAAAATACTTGAAGAAATAATGGCTGAAACTTTCCCAAATTTGATTTTTAAAAAACCTTATGCATTCATGAAGCTCTACAAACTCTGAGCTTGATAAACACAAAAAAGAAAGCTCCCCACCTAGACACATCTTGGTTTAACTGGTGAAAGCTAAAACAAAGAGAAAATCTTGAAAACATCAAAAGAAAAAAGACTCATCATGTATAAGGAAGCACAGTAAGATGACAGTTGACTTCTCATCAGAAACAATGGAGGCCAAAGGCAGTGGAATGACATATTCAAAGTACTGAAAGAAAAAGAACTGTCAATCAAAAATTGTGTATCCACACAGATGGACAATAAACACATGAAAAGATGTTGAACATCACTAATCAGCAGGGAAATGCAAAATTAAAACTACACTAAGATGCCACCTTACACTAGTTAAAATGGCTATAATCACTAAGACTAAAAATAACAAATGTTGGAGAGGATGTGGAGTGAAGGGAATACTCATACACTGCTGATGGGAATGCAAACTCGTGCAGCCACTATGGAAAACAGTATGGAGATTCCTCAAAAAACTAAAAATAGAACTAACATATGATCCAGCTATCCCACTACTGGGTATCTACCCAAACAACTTGAAATCAATAATCCAAAGTAACATACGTACCCCTATGTTCATTGCAGCACTATTCACAATAGCCAGGACATGGAAACAATCCAAGTGCCCATCAACCAATGACTGGATAAAGAAGATGTGGTATATTATATATACAATAGAATACTAGTCAACCATAAAGAAAGACAAAATCATTTCATTTGCACCAATATGGATGGACCTGGAGGGAATTATGCTTAGTGAAATAAGCCAGACCGAGAAAGACAAACGCCATATGATTTTTCTCATATGTGGAATATAAACAAACACATGGACAAAGAAAACAGTTCAGTGGTTACCAAGGGAAGGAGGGTGTGGGGTGGGGACAGGGGGTGAATGGGAGCACTTATGTGGTGACAGACAAGAAATAATGTACAACTGAAATTTCACAATGATGTAAACTCTTATGAACTCAATAAAAAAATCATTACCTATCAAAAAGAATTGTGTATCCAGAGAAACTATCACTTTAAAATGAAGGCAAAATAAAAATATTCTCAGATAAAGACGAGGGAATCATTGCTAACAGACTGGTTTGATAAGAAACACTAAAGGAAGACTTTCAGGCTGAAAGGAAATGGCACTAGATGGTAACACAAATACACGTGAAGAAATAAAGACCACCAATAAGGGGAATTATGTAAGTAAATATAAGCGACTGTTTAAGTATATATTTTTCTCTATCTTCTTAACTGATTTAAAAGACAGTCACGAAGACAATAATTATAAAATTGTATATTTGAGTTTGTAGTATATAATATGGGAATGGAGCAACGTTAGAGTAAAATATTTGATGTTTACTGGAGTTAAGTTAGTATTAATCTGAAGTACATTGATTGATTGATTGATTGATTGATTATTGAGGAAGATTCGCCCTGAGCTAACA